CCCCCTTCTTCCCCCCCGCTTCCTCTCTCCCAAAAAATCCCTCCAAAAAGCCCTCCAAAAAGAAAGAATCTCCCAAGAATCTCCCTCAAAAAATATAGATCCTAACTAATCTTATCGATATCTACAAAATTACCATCTTCAGACTCTAATATATAATGAAAATATATAATCCATATAGTGAATATATATACGAATATACTCTAGTATAACTTCAAGTTATATATTTATATTTATAAAGATATATGAAATAAAATAAAACAAATAGATAGTATATATAGAGAAAGTGTATTTATATAATAGAGAGAAAGTAGAGAGAAAGTATACAAATAACGTACTAATTAGTATCGGTATTATAGTCTTGTTAATCCAATACTCCAATACTAGTGACGAATGTTATTTCCCGAATATATTATAACTTGAAATACTTAAGTGAGTGAGTAAGTGAGTAATGAATAATGAATATATATAATATTTGAATGTATATAAACAGTAGAGATGATGAAATGAAATTAAATAAAATAGAAAGTATAGAGAATATATATTCGAGTATGCAGAAAGTGTATATATGAATAATGTATTATAATCTAATCTAATAATGAATATATCTCTCAAAGATAGTTTGAATTTCAAGTTCGATAGTGCGATGTGTTGTGATATACAGAACGAAATATATATATATATATACTCAGTATATAAGATGCGAATATATTCGCGATGCTGTAAATGCGGACATTTCCATCTTCTTTCTTCTTCTTTCTTCCATCTTCATTCTTTTTCCCCAAAACCAAACCAGACAAAACAAATTAAATAAGTAATGAATACCTCATACCTCATACCGCCCATGAAACCCCAAACCCCCAAAAACCCCCCCAAAAATCAAGTCAAGACTCAAGCCTCTATAATCATAAAACCCACCCAAAGTAATAAAATCTTAAATCCCCGAAAACCAACCCCCGACTCCCTCAAATCGAAATCAAATCAAGCCTCCATTACCACCCCCCTCTCACTCCTTCGATTCACATATCCACTTCCCATTTCCGTTCTCGCACCCTGACTCTTATTCATATTCACATTCAAAGTATTCCCACCCTTTTCCTCCCACTCACTACCACCATTTCCCAAAACCATTTCTGGATTTCCTCTTGTACTCGTAGTTCCCTTCATCATGGCTTCTACTTTCTCTCTATTACTATTTGATCCATTTATTCCCCCCGAACTCCCCGCACTCCATTCGTCTACATCTGGAACCAGCACGAGAGTTGGTGTCAAAGATCTGGAACTCTTTATTGTAATATCTCCACGTGTACCCGGGTTTAGGATACCCATTCCCCTTACATCACCACCAGTGTGGCCCGTGACAGAAGATAACAATATTCCGCCGCGAAGACTCAATTCCGTGACACTTTCTAACGGGGAGCCCTTTGAGTTTTTCCCAATAACATTTTCACCGGTGACGAATCGTTTCCCCACTCCAGATCCAACTCCAGATCCAGCTGATATCGAACTCTGTTCACTCTGTCGATCAGAAGGACTGGTAATACCAGGAGAACGTCCACGAGGATTTCGTTTGGAGATGGTACCATTGCTAGTTTGAATGGGGATGAGTAATTGGCGTTGTTGACGCGACACGGAAATTTGGCGAGCGATGGAGACGCCGGCGGCGGATTCCAGACGTTTTTGTTCGGCGTCGCGGGAGCGGGATCGGCTGGGGTTGATGGGGGTTTCGTCTATGTGGACATCTAGGAGAGAAGGCGTTATAGAGGATGTGGATGCTTGTTTTTGGTGAAAATTGTAGGTTGGTTCGGGGTGAGGAGAAGAGATGGTGGTTTCAATGGAGCGTTGAGGATGAGGAGATGCGGGGAGAGGAATCTTGCGTGGTGAGGAAATGTTGGTTGAAGAGAGGTTGGCCGAAGTCATGGGGGATTTTTGAAGCGAGGGACGAGGTGAAAGACCCGAGGCAAGGGATGCATTCGAGAATGGATCTTGCATCAAAGGTCGTGATGATGATGCGGGTGGACTTTGATTTTCGGAAACAGGAGATTTGAGAATTCGAATGGGGCGAGGCGCGGATCCTGCTGACCAAGTTGTGATATTAAAAGTTGAGATTATCGGTCGTGGTCCCGGCGTAGATTTAATGGGAATTTTTATGTCTTGGGCCTTTTGGGGAGATTGAAAGCTTGTTGGTGATGTTTTCCTAGAATCTTTTTCTCTCATCTTTTCCTGCTCGGGCAGGGAAACTACATTTGTATATATACTACCTGGTGCACTTGCAAATGATGTGGTAGAATGTGATGATGATATAGTGCCAGTCTCACTGGTCATAGATCCAGATACCGAGGATGGGGTCCCATGGTTTTGCTTTTTGGAGTTTCCCGTCTGCCACGTTGATTCCTTTTTTTCAAAATTTGATTTGGTTGCTGTTAGTTGTGATGCGTTATATGAATCTTCCTTTTCTTGACCATTTGTGGATCGCGCATCTGCCTCTGATTCTTCGGCGGAGGATGGCGATAAAAGTTGAGATTTGTTTGGAGACCAAGTACGCGTTGTTTGGATTTGTGGTTGTGGTCTTGGAAAACTCGATGATGATTTTGCTGACTGTTTACGTGGTTTCTTAGTAGATGTCGTTGGTGAAAAATCTTTATGTTCATGTCCGCTTCGATTGGTAGGTGTTTTATTATCGAATACAAGATCAGCATGTGTATTATTATCAAAACCTGGTGCGAACGAAGCTCTAGCAGGTGAGAGGCCGGCGGGAGAGGTATTTGATCTATGTAGCGACGACTTTTCACGTGATGGTGAGCTTGCACGATTGCCTTGTCTTGAGGGTGTATTTGGAAAGAGAGAGAATGATGGGCTGTTGTGATTTGGTTGTGGTGAGGTAGCCCTGCGTCTTGTGAGAGCCTTGGTACGGGCCTCAATTTCTGCTTCCTAATTCGGAATGTTAGCGCAATTCAGGGGTAATAGAGAGGGTATAAAACCTTTGTAGCAAGTGCTTCTTCCACACTCTTAAGTCTATCCAGTGTAGCTTGGCGCCTTTGAAGTAATGAAGAAGTGTTAGTTGAGGGTTTCTGTAAGATATCCCCAAACATAACACTATATCTTTCCATTTGTACTGATGGAAGTGCCAGATCAAGTTTTGGTCCTTCGGACGACACTTTAGGATAGGATCGTAGAACTTCTACTCCAATAGGACCTTGAACACGAATGTCTGGAGTTCCTGCTCGGATGTTTGTTGATGTTGAAGCTTGGAATGAATGTTGGAAACTAGGTGTTGTGGGTGCCGTTTGAGCTCTTTTCATGTTTGGTTTCTTGCTAGTTTTACCAGAAGCTGAGCGACCACGAGATCTACCAGTACGCTTAACCTCTGGCGAAGAAGGATCGCTCGTTGGGAACTCTTGTTGTGATTCGGGTTTAAGTTGATAGAATGAGGTAGGTGTTTTTTCCTTCCGACTTCCAAATAATCCAAACCACTTCCGACCTTTCTTTTGCTTCGGAGCAACAACAGAATCGGCATAATGAGACACATCGTCCATCGGATGGAGAATACGGATTGTTTCTACCCCAAAAGACTGCTGAGCTTGTTGCATATTTTCTGGTGGATGAGCCGGACTTCCAAGTGCCATACCTATTGCAGCTTCACCAACGTTAGGATGAACAGTCATACTTGTCTTGATCGAACCAGGACTGTAGGGTCGTAGGAGAGGTTCTACCATCTGGGCCACGACTGGTGAAGGTGGGGGTCGGACAGAAGGTAGAGGAAAGTTATAAAAAGTAGGACCGTCCTTCCCATGTGCTGTCAATGGATTGAAGAATAGATCGTCCCGTGTTTCCCTCTTGACAGTATTGGCCCTCTTAGGAAAATTTCCTGTCGATTTTTTGATTCCACCCGAGGTAGATGGTCTTTCTGGAAATTTAGGCCGGTCTTGATGTCCAAATTCAAATAGTCGAAATGTGTTGGTATCGATAATCTTGGCATGTGCATCATCTGTAACATGTAGTGAAGCACTAAAGGCTGTTGCGTCTCGACCTCTAAATCGGGACATTACCGACTTCGACCTAGTCATATTCTTCGACATAGCTTATTCCCGGGATCTGAGCGTGAACTTTCGAGCCCTTCTGAACTGATAAATTGGGTTTATGTTGTCGGTGATGACGAAGTATGATGTGGCTGATGTATATGGTGAAACGAGCATGTAGATCGAATATCTTTCTCAAAGGAGTGGACAGGTCACACTAGGAGACCCTTGAAATGAAAAAAAACCAAATCGCGGAGAGGAAGAAAAAAGAGTGGAATACTCTTTGCAAGAGAGAAAAATCGAGGATAGAAAGAATAACAGAAATGGTAAGGAACATGATTATATGACTTATCTGTTATTAGTTGCATCCATCGCACACCTCCTTCAGCCCTGTAAGGTAGAGCAAGTAATAAAGAAGAAGAGATGGGGTATTTTGGGTCCCCGATATTATGATTGTTTGAGGTAGATGGGACGTTTAATTCGGAGATTTGGAGAGGACAAGGGGTCAATTTTGGAGAAGGCGAGGCCAAGCGAGTGGGTTGAAGGGCCGCCTCACAAAGGAAGGGGTATAAACAAGCCTAAAATCCTCAAGATGTGTGTAGTAGTCAATCTTGAAGCGACCTATTTGATCAGCTTCTAGGATAAGTAAAGATCCCCAAGTGGCTTAAAAGTTAGGATTTCTGCAACTATCTTATTCTTTTAGACATGGGATGGATATGGAGTGAGTCCAGATGATTTTTAAATAGTTTGAGTACTTCATGCCGCCAGAAAGTCCAACAACTCGGGTAAATTAGCACGTGCCACATAGTGGTAAACTATAACAGGAATAGTCTAGTTTTTAACTTCCCGAGTTACGGACTTTCTGGCAGTTTGAGTAGTCAGGGAAGTTTTTCCGTCCCATTCTCCATATTTACCAAACGACTGTTTTGACTAGGACCAGATAGAAATTCATCAAATGTTATTCTGGAAGGAGATGAGATTTCAAGCTGTTTTGGATTTGAGGAAAGCTAAATATGACTGTGTGGTAACGTGTGGTTGTTGTTGTGAAATATATCTCTCAAGTTCTGACACCCGGTGTCCTGTATTGATATAAAATCGACCCTTGGCTTTGGTTGAGTGTGGTTGAGAATGCTTCAGATTATACTGAGTAATAAGATTGAGGAAGACAAGCGAATGGAAATCGCGTATCAGAATCCCAGAGATTAGGGATTAGGACTAGGTTTGTTGTGGAGATGCATTAATCTCACTACTGGCTTACAATCCAATCCCATGAAGATATATTTGTTGAGGGGAGGCTCGAATGAGGATGAAAGGGCAAGGCATTGTGTGTACATGATATATTGACTATGATGGCGTGTATCGGAATAAGTTTGCCAATACGATGTTCCGAATTCGACTATATATGATTGACAGCGACGAAGTGCTCGTTACAGCAATATGCTATTCTAATCCTCACATCCAGCATCTCTTCCAATAAAACGATGAAGAATTCGCAATCTAGTTATCGTCATACAGGCCTGGCACAAGTACACAAGTACCCAGGTCCAACTGTACTTAAATCTCCGCTGACCTCGCGGTACCCTCATCTACATCTCCATATAGCATACTCTGTAGGAGCTTTCGTAAGGAACCAGGAATATCAGGAAGGATATGATTCTTGAGGGAAAGATCATCACTAGCATTTTATGGATAACCTTAAGATCTCCATGATTTGCTTGAGCCTTGGGGGACAGGAATTATGAATTTAATTAGTGTCGACCTCGTCTCCCTCGTTCTATAATACCTCCTTCATCGCATAATCTTCTGATACTGTACAGATAGATACCGATGAGACGAAACAATCGAGGAGATCAGCTCTAGCAATCAAGAAGAAACCCAACCTTGCCTCGCCAAGTTCTTCCTCCATTATTCGAAAATCTCTCTCGATGATCATTTGGTCTTTTTCTCTTTCTAGATTTCTCATCGTATTATTCATAATTATTCCATTGTATAAAGAATTTAAGCTTATAGACAAGCAAATCACATCCTCGTATATATCAACAATAACTAATCTTCAAGACCTGCAGTATCCAGTCCGGTACCAGGGTCTTCAAACGGCGTGGTAGTCGGTATATATTCGCAAATGCGATATGGGGGCGGCTCTTGTAGGTGTAGGATAATAATAACAAGGAAAGGTAATTTCCAGACGCTGAAGAGGGGGATTTTGTTGCGTGTTTGTTGTTGATTGATAAGCTTTCGAGAGTTGGCTGAAGATTGATTTGAAGTAAATTTCATATATCTCCTCTACACTTCACAAGGTATATACATATAGTATATACAATACACGGATATATACCGGTATCAAACTTTACCTAGGAGATTTCCGCAAGACCCCAAGTCTCCACCGCAAAAATCTAGAAATCCAGATCCGGTGATTTGATAAAATATAAAATCTCTAGCGATGAAGAAGGCGCCCAGGCTGTTTGTTCACTGACCGACTCACTGGTGAAAGATATATAAGACATTGTATTTTTAGTGAGTCTACTGGTTTCAAAATGATCTGCCATGATCAGATATGTATATTTTGAAACGTCCTGAAGATTTTGTATGATATACAGTAGTATATTGATACTCGAGTATATATAAGATATAATCTGATCTAGAGAAACTAAAGTATTATATGATATCCTGAAGAGTGGTCAGTAAATATACTCGAGTATAATATGAATATCAAATACTTGGGACGATATAGTATAATGCCTTAATATCACATCGATATCCGGATATTGATATATAGAGTTCATTACGAATAGCTCAGTTGAACTTAGGAACTCTGGGAATGAGATCGTATGAAATCTATATTATATACGAGTAGTCTACTACTCAAGAAAGTATCTCGGGGGTTTTTCAGGATGATTCGATAATGGTTGGATGGATAGATGGAATAATGCTAAAGAGGAAATGAGAGAAAGTCTAATAAATTGGTAGATTGTCTTGCTAGTGATGATGTAAAAAGGTAAAAACTCAATTTATCCGTTTCTGAATTTTGTGTTGGCAGGGAGGAAAGGCTAGCGAGCTACTCTTTGATCGGTGATATCGCCAATGTTGAAGACATAGTGATATCAAAATCATGAAACTTCCATTTCTTGATATCCGTTCCTGTAATTGGATGGAATATCAACGGTGTGTGTCTGTCTGCACTTCGAAGGATAATACGGTGACGGTGACGGCACCAGAGGAAATCTCTTGCCCTATCAAGTTTCAATATCATACCGTCCATCCATGGTACTGGTAAGGCCATCTCACGATGCAGTTATCTCTCACCGGCGGGAGTTTCCATTCGGCTTGCATATGGGTGAGGTGAATAATCTACCTATGTATCAGTCCTACCTTCCGAGATGCTGCAACGCAACCATTTGCTGGAGCTAGCTACTTTAACTTGTGCATAACATAGCTTTGATAGGGAATAGGAGTTTGTTATAGCTATAGCTACTCAGTATCCGAGTGCAGTTGCAGCTAATAATACGGTATTAACAATACAGTCGGTATCTTAAGCCATCATCATCCTTTGTGAGAGACACAACGATAGCTAGATGGGTTCATATTATCAATCATATTTATAGCTACAGGTGAATTGAAACATTTGCATTGAACTGTATATATTCACTCTGTTTTCAAACTATTCTGAATCACCCTCCTGATTCATACCTCACTCACCGGTACCAATTTTGAATTCTCTTCTTTCTTCAAAGCCTTTTATCATAGCAACGACAACAACAACAACAACAAAAGAGGTACAGTACCACTTTATATGATTGCAACCATCTTTCAAGACATCAAACACTGCACACCGCAAACAACAACTCATCAATCAACCCCACCAAAAACAGTAAAAGCCACCCATCAAACCAAACAAGCGAGCCATAGCACCAAAATTTGGGCGGGAACGCTTTTAATTGACCCCGTCCGTTAACTTGTTACAGAAACATAAACTGGAACCTCATCACAAATTTATCACAACTCAACCTCCCTTTTACCTTGTTCAATAATCTTGTCATACTCAAATCATCGCAAGTTTTTACTCCAACTATTCTATTCTCATATCCATCAACCAATATACAAACTACAAGATGTCGTGGCAGGGTAAGCTTCATACGTTTTCTTTTATGATATGATATGATTGCAGGTAGAAACCTGAGGTTACCCCTCCTTGGAATGAACCCCTCTATGATATTTACTTGCAAGACTATATTGTAATCAGGAGAAGTTTACTGATGATTTGATTTGATATAGCTTATATCGACCAAAGGTACGAAATCTACAATACAAGGAGAAGATGGGAGAGCGATGCAATAGCATAGGAAACTGATGGGAATAATACAGTCTTTGTGGAAGTGGACATGTCGAGAAGGGAGCCATCTACAATTTGGAGGGAACCTCTTGCTGGGCCACCAGCCCCGACTTCGCGGTACGATATATCTCCATATCTCCCATATCCTTTGATCGATTCATTCCGCCTTTCAGACTCCTTTTCATATATACAACTTGTCTGCTCTGTTTTTTTTTCGCATATCCATATTGCCAGGCAGATGACGATGACGATTCTGGAAAAGAACACCAATCCATCACGCGTACATGAAATCTCACGAAGATCAGGCGCTGACATAAATCATTCATGTAGATTACCCCCGAAGAAATGGCCGAGGTCGTCAAGGGACTGAATGGAAATCATGATGGTTTATACGCAAATGGATTACATCTTGCTGGCGAAAGATATGTTCTTACCAAGGTGGAGGATGAGAATAAGATACTCTATGCTCGAAAGGTTTGTTTCCTGTTTCTATTCTCTTATATGATTTCTCATCTCAGCCTTACCTATGGTCATCTATCTCGCCATGCGGATTTCCATTCTTAACTATCAACATCTACGACGTGTTTGAATACTTCCTGGAAATACCAGGATACCTACCTACCTACCTACCTACCTACCTATATTACAGCATATATGCTAATCTCTTTCATCTCTCTTCAAAAATAGGGCAGAGATGGACTCGTTATCGGCAAAACCGTCCAAGCAATCGTCGTAGCCCGTTACGTCGATCCAATGATCGCCGGAAATACCTCAGATACTGTTCAAAAATTGGTCGATTATCTCGTGAAAGTTGGCTACTAAATATCCTACTAAAATATCAAACAATCGATACTTTTGTCTGCTACTTTTTCACGATTTTTTTTGACTTTGGTTGTTGATGATGATGATGATGATGTTATGAGGGATGAATGGGGGGAGAGGAGAGGGTCAGGGGAAGGAAGGATATTTGCATATGTGGAGCGAGAGAGAGGAATGAAGAATGAAGGGGAAGGGTGAAAGGGTAGATACTAGAATAGTGTCGATCTTTTTTGACTGATGGGACTGATAGAATACATAAATGAATGAATGGATGGATGATTCATACAGCAACAGGAATTATGTAAAATCACAAATATATTCATTTTCTATGCTTTTATATCTTTTCTATCTCATATGTTTCACTCGTTGTATGATTTGATGTGGACTACTAGTTTTAATACTTGAGTACTATACATTAATCAATCCTTGATTATGAAATTCTTGAGGAGGGAGAGAGAGAGAGAGAGAGAGAGTGGGGTATTGAAGGGTATTGGAAGAGAGGGGAGGAGAGGAGAGTAATGAGTGAGTATCAATGAGTATCATTAACTCTCTCTTCTCTCTCATCTCTTATATTCGAAAGTCGAGTCGAAACAAGATAAGATCAAAATAAAGGTAAAGGTAAAGGCTAAAGATGAATGAATATTTATATATGAGTATGAGTATTTATTTATCTATCTATTAATTTAGATATTATATTAGGATTAGAGAGAGTAAGAGTAAGTAAGTGTTGGAACATAGATAGAACGAGAGGAGAGCAAGAATTAGTATTAGAAAGTAGAAGAGGAGAGAGGAGAGAGTAAGTATTAAAGAGAAGAGAAGAGAGGAAAGAATAAGAGTAAAAGTAAAAGTAAAAGTAAAAGCAGAAGTGGAAGTAAGTATTAGTACTGTACGAGTATATACTACTCGAGTACTATATATATCTATACTACTCAGTATCTAATATGCTATACTATTCTCTCTTTGTATTACTCGAATACACTCTACTATACTATATGTAGTGTAGTGTTGTATAGTCACTATACTACCTCAGGCTACGAGTATACTACATTACATTATACTCAGCAACTTAATGAATCCAACACAAAACAAATCATCTACATCTTTCATCTTCATCTCTAATCAAAATCAAATCAAACAAAAGTATATTAATTATAAGTATAAATAAGTAATAATCTACAAAAAAAGAAAGAAAGAGAGAATAATAATTCAAACTCTCGTAAACGCCTGCCTTTATGCATATCTTTGAACTGCAACTGAGTTTCCGCGATGCAATGCGATGCTGCTGGATCCCCTAGTTACTATACCCTTATTACCATAATATAAGTATTTGAAACCTCTCATCTCTCATCTCTCGTAGTCATCCATCTATCCATTCCTCTCCAATCTCAATCTCAATCCCCGTGTCTTCTTGGCCTCAACTCAGGCCCTGGCAATTCCTCATATATACAACCTCCATATTCATCTTCGGCACAAGTGTATGAACAAGCTGGGGGTAAAGCATTTACTGAATCTTCTTTCCCTCCTTCTCTACCTTTCTCTCTCTTCTCCTCTTGGCAGCCTCGGGTCCACTCTCGGTATCCAGTATGTAATCCCACCACCTGAAACTACTCGCGTAATTTCCAATGAATTTCTCATGATGAGTATCGTGATGTTCGGCCCCGGCCCAGAAAGGTAAGAAATGATGTAGAGACCATGGGAAGTCATATCCACTATGCGCATCGATTGCTTGGAAAAGTCTGCACACGATCCAGATATACATTGTTAAGATGTGTAAGTTTCCGGTGAGCATCACCCAGAGGATAGGGGATCCGACAGTTCCGAGTCCGAGAACCATTACTTCAATAGGAGATGCGTATTCGGCGGCGAGACCAAAGGGTGCAGAGTATTGATGGTGGATCTTGTGGATTTTCTTGTAGAGCCATCCGAAGTGCATGGCGCGATGCATCCAGTAATGCCAGGTATCTTCAAGAACGAAAAAGATGGCGACTTGATAGGCGATGGTGATGAGAGATGGGAAAGGAACGTCAGTACCCATTCCAAAGTATTTAGCCATAGGATGGAAGAGGTAGATTTGAGGAAGTTCGACGGTGAAGTGGGAGAGAAGGACAAGCTTTGTGCATGTCCATTGTTCTGCCGCGGTAGGTATTTTGTTCTGAAAAGAAAGATATGGTTAGCTAATGTTGACTCATCGATACCGCTAAGAACTGGAATGTGTTGTTATGCTGCCTTACCCCTTGAATCTTGTACTTGTTGAAATACTGAATTTGATCGATGATGATCCATGGAAGACTTCGACCGAAATAAAATACTTCGTGCATAACGAAACTCATGATACCAGTGGCAAGGACATCATTTTGCATGTACGCATACCAACTCTATTTCCTCAATTAGTATATACTCAAAATAATGGTAGACAAAAGATTGAACTTACAGCCCAGAGGCGTTCAAATATGTTGAGATGAATATTATATTTACTCAACTCACCATAGATACCTAGAAAGGTATCCGGGGTCGCAGAAATGGTGGAATTTGATAAGATATCCATTGCTGCGAATGGAGAAGCAAAAGGAAAACAACAGTTGGATGTTTAATTGAAGATGTAACCAGAAGTTATAGGAAGAGGAGAGGAGGGCTATTAGGAGAGTTGTAGGTGTAAGGAAGAGATTAGATTTGGGTGAAGCGACCGCCGATTATTTTATTATTATACTAGGATAATTGGCCTTTGTCGAACCACAATTGGTTATCGGAACGGAAAACTCCCGGTAAGGCAAGGAGGTAGGGGGGAACTTGGGAACTTGATTAGGTAAAGGAGAGATAATTTTTGAAGGGGTTCAACCTTTTTTTGGTAGAGTGAAGGATGAATCACGTGTTTAGGTGGTACGGTTTTTCGTCTATCGGGATTTGGAAGCCGGATGGGATCATTTTTGGATGGGGAGAAGATGAAGATGAAGTGATTCATGAGCTGGTGTTTGAAACTTTGAAGATATTGTTAAAGAAATGATTGGTTGTTCGGGATATGAATCTATTCCCAAGTAAACAAGATTGATAATTCTCCAACATACTTCAACATACCGTATCATACCGGTACCAATACCCAGGCTCACACTCAACTCAACTCAACTCAACTCAACTCTACTCTACCTAGGTATTCAACTCGTAATCGTACCTGAAAATCATCTTTACCCCTTTTTTATTCCCCTAAATCCCTGTACTAGATATGTAGATTTCCTTCTGGAATATGATTACCTAATCAACTTCTACTTCCACTTCCACTTCATTCCGCCCACCGCTAAAATGATCTCCTCCCTTCCCAAACTTTTCACCGATGCCAAGAACAAGTGGTGCAATCAATGTAGCTACCGCATCTCAGGTCTCAGGAACCAAGATTCCTACCGCCACACCGTATCTACAAGGGCCCAAGGGGTTGATGTGAATCTGACTTTCATATGACAATTGCTATCAGTACAGTACCGTGGTGAACGTCTAGAAAGTCTAGAAACCTTGAATAAAGATTACTAGGAAAGGAATTTAATCGTAAGATTCTACTCGAGATTATTATATACTCAGTTCATATCAATCAGCTCACTCTTTGCTCGTTGCTCATTGCTTATTGTTTATTGATCCTTTTCCTAAATTTACCTTTTTGACCTTGGTTATGTACCGATTACATTGAACAATTTATATCGTCCAAAAAATTCAACAGCTTTAACCAGAATATTGAAGTCGTCTCTCACACAGCAGCTATCTGCGACGCTACCTACAACATCTCTCGATTCTCTCCCACCTCCTACATCCTACATCCTACCTACCACCTCCAACCCTCACCTATATCACAATGTCAACACCTTATACATTAGAATCTGCCAATGAAGAAAGAAGGCGCGTCTACCACGAAGCAGATGTAGTAGTAGTTGGAGCCGGTGTATTTGGATGCGCCATAGCATATGCCCTCGCTCAACAAGGACGCAGTATTCTCCTCCTCGAACGATGGCTCAAAGAACCCGATCGTATAGTCGGAGAATTACTTCAACCCGGTGGCGTATCCGCACTTGAGAAATTAGGACTTTCACACTGCTTAGAAGATATCGACTCGGTGGTTGTCAAGGGATACGAAGTTATATATCATGGAACACCGGTTTCAATTCCATATCCCATGGATGCGGGTGCGGCTGCAGAAGGGGGATTCAAAGATTCGGATAATGAAAAGAGTCAAAGACCAGAGGGAAGAAGTTTTCATCATGGGAGATTTATATCACAATTGCGCAAAGCATGTGCCAGTCAACCCAACATTACAATTGTCGAAACAGAAGTCACAGATACCATAAGCGGCGGACGAACCGATGCGCAAGTCCTCGGCGTGCACTCACGAACTACCAATTCATCAACGGGCAAAAAAGAAGCAGATTGTTACTTTGGACATCTCACTATAATAGCAGATGGATATGCTTCCAAATTCCGCAAACAATACAGTAATAAAGTCCCCATAGTTAAAAGTAAATTCTACGCCTTAGAATTGATCGACTGTCCCATGCCAGCCCCCAACCACGGCATCGTTGTCCTCTCCGACGTCTCCCCCGTTCTCCTCTACCAAATCGGCACCCACGAAACCCGCGCTCTAATCGACGTCCCAGACAATATCCCCTCCGCATCCCCCGCTGCAGGTGGGGTGCGAAACTACATACACAATATAGTGCTCCCTATCCTACCCCCACAAGTCCGTCCCTGTTTTTTGAAAGCACTCGAAGATGGCAAGATTCCGCGCAGCATGCCAAATAGTTGGCTTCCCCCCTCAACCCAAACTCAAAAAGGTGTTCTCCTCCTCGGCGACGCAATGAACATGCGACATCCACTCACCGGAGGCGGCATGACCGTAGCATTCAACGACGTAGTACTCCTGTCATCCCTCCTCGCTCCTGAGAAACTCCCCAGTCTAAATGACACAACCGCCATAACCAAAGCCATGAAGGAATTCCACTGGCGTCGAAAATCTCTCTCATCTATCATAAATATCCTAGCTCAAGCCCTTTACGCCCTCTTCGCAGCCAATGATCCACAACTAAAAGCATTACAAAAAGGCTGTTTTCACTATTTCCGCAAAGGAGGAAATTGTATCGATGGGCCCGCTGGATTGTTAGCAGGTATTATTAGACAACCCCTGGTATTGATCTATCACTTTTTTTCAGTAGCGGTATTAGCAATATGGATTATGATGGGAGAGATTATAGGGGGATTGAGTGGAGTATGGAAGGCTCCTTGGGCGGTAGAACAGAGTTTAGAGGTTTTTTGGAAGGCTTGTGTGGTGATTTTTCCGTTTATTTGGAGTGAGATGAGGAGTTAGGGGGGGTGTGGAGATGAAGATGAGTTAAGAAGAGAGAAAGGCAAAGTGGAAAATGGAAAGGAGAAAGGAGAATTGTATAATGTTTATGAAAGAGGCAATGGATAGATGGTGCATGATGGTTGGAGAGAGATGTAGATATAGATACACACATGATGAAGTTTTTCAAGACTTTCTATCATATTTCTTACAAGGAGCGAGAGAGGGATAGGATGCGATAGGTTGTTTATAAGCATATTAATAGGCGTTTGATGGTGGGGATCAAAGAAAGGAGGATGGAGGAGGGAAGATGAAAGATGCTTTTGAATCAAAACTTCTTTCCTTCTCTACTCAGTATTGTAGAGTGCATAGTTCTCAGTTGCAGGTAGTAGGTAGTAGGTAGTAGGTAGTATAGTATAGTATATAAACTTATAATCAAAATATAATCAATATATACATATAATTTTATCCAAATAGAATACAGTATATAATTATAAAAGCTTTATATCATTACTTCAAGTTGTACTCGAGTACTTGTTATTAATATCTTCGTCCCAATCGATCGAAGCGAAGTACTCGGTAGTAATATCGAATACTTATTATAATTTATTCATTATATATATAATCGTTCTACTTGTATATCTATATCCATTTCATGCCATTACACGCTATTATTGTATTATATTTTATTATATATATACAGTATATTCTGAGCCTTGAATACTACTCTATGCCATTTCATTCTATAGATATATTTCTATTGACCCATGTAGCTCATTCTATATATCTGTCTCATCTTATCTACACCCAATCCAATCCAACCCAACCCTCTCTCCAGATTCAAATTTCCTTGTGTTAATTATATATATATATACTCTTTGTTATTCCAGAATACTTATTTGAATACGTATCCTACTTATCCTAGATACTCACCCCATATATACTCCTTTTGGCCATTGACTCTTAATCCTTTCCTCCATTCCCACCTCCTAACTCCTCTCCTAACCCCTATCTTCCTTCCACCACATTGACACAATACAATAAGCGAAATAATGAAATAATGGAAAGATCTACTCTACAGTACTCGAGTACAAATGAATAATATAATATACAGTACTCGTAACGCAAATCAGAACCCCCTCTATTCTGCACCTCTATCTATCTACATATCTACCTCCCATCCATCCATCCATTCATTCATTCATTCATTCCCCAATAATATAATATAATATAACATCATATCTAACTTCCTTTATATCTTTATATCTTTATACTCCGAGTCAAGTATTAATCTATAACTATAGATCATTCGGTACTCTATTATTCTACTTGAGTATACTCGGCTCATTTCATATTATATCTCTAGTTCACTTCACTCCATTTCATTTCACTCTATTTTATTATTATTATTATTACCTCAATATGATTCTCTAATTCTCTAATTCCTGTTCCTGTTCTTATTCTTATTCTTATTCTTATTCTAGATTCGGGTATACGAGTATACTTGGAAATTTGATCTTGTTTACTTGTTTATTTATTTGTGTATTTGTTTATGTATTTGTTTGTTGTTCAAGTTGTATAGTATATTCCATCTCCATCTCCATCTCTTTTTCTTCTTCTCTATCCTATCATTTCCCTATCCCATCCCTTTCCATCCCTTCCCATCCCTAACCCTCCCTTCCCCTCTCTCCCTCCCTCCCTCACCACCTCCCCCCTACCCCTCACATCCCCTCAACAAATTATCAAATTCAATATTCCAAGCACTAAAATTCTATCATCTATTCCTTCTCTCTTCTCTTCTCTTCTCTTCTCTTTCTCTTCTCTTTCACCTTTTCCATCCTTTCTCTATCCTATCCCTTCTTCATTATCTCTGTTCTATCTCTATTATATTCATGCCATCTCCTCTCAACCTTCAAGTTTTTTCTCTCAACCCTTACCCTTACCCTTACCCTTACCTTCTTCCCTCCTCCCTCCTCCTGCACTTACCCTTCCCCAATGCAGAATTATCTCTTAATACTTACTTATTACTCATACATCTCATTCTCTATTTTCTCTATATACCACATTCCCACTGGCATTCAATCCCTTTTTTATTTAATACCTTAGTTACCTCTCTCCCACCCAATCAATACCTTACTTCTCAAATCCCCCGTGGCCTATTCCCCCAATATCTACCTCCACTTACCTCCTCTCACCCCTCATATCAATCCCCTCGCCTATTCGCCCAATATCTACTTCCTCTAAGTTCAAGTTACCTCCACTTACCTCCCACCTCTCATCACTTCTTTTTACCTCCTCTTACCTCTTACCCACCAACCCCATCATAATCCATAAATCCACACATCTAATTTTCCTTTCCATTTCCCTTTCCATTTCCCTTTTCATTTATATTTTTATTATATCTCTTATATACCACACCTCTCATTCCATTTCATTCCCCCTTCCCCTCTATCCCCTCCACTCCCTCCACTCCCTCCATCCCCTCCATTTCCCCCACCACTCATATCCCCCTCCATTCCTTCCATTCCCTCCACTCACTCCATATCCCCTACCCCTCCTTTCCCCTCCCACTTTTATCTTCCTCTCCTTTCTCCTCCTTTCCACTTCTCTCCTCTCCTTTCCTCTCCTTTCCTCTTATTAATATCATATTTTTATCCTATTCCATCCCATTCCATCCCACTAACACCCAATTTTTATTTTATTTTACCTTCACTCCTTTTATATATATTCTATAATTCTATTCGCTTAATAACCCCTTTTTATCCTCTTTTCCTTTTTTGTTTTCTACCTCTTCTCTTCCCTCCTTTATCTCTTCCCTCATTAGCCTCATTCCACTCCACCCCATACCCTCATCCCCTTCCCATCTTCCTCCTCACCTTCCTTCCATCCTCTCCTCTCCTCTTCCATCCATCCCACTCCACTCCATCTCATCCCTTTCCATTCCCTCCCCACCTTCCTCCTCACCCTCCATCTCATCCCCTTCTCAGACTTCCTCCCCCCAAGCACCCCAAACACCTTCCTCCCCACCTACTCGGTACATACACCAAAAAAAAAATCACAAACTAGCAATCCAATCTCCAACTCCAACTCCAACCAGGTATATCTATCCATTATCCATTATCCATTGAACATTTATCACTTGTCACTTGTCACTAAGAAACAATATACCATACACCATACACCATACACCATACAAACCAAGAACCAAAATTCATTTTTAATTTCCATCCTATTCCATCCCATTCCATACAATTAAAATTCCACGCTATGGATACCTAGGTATTATCAAAAGTACTAGATATGTATCTCCAGTCCCTTCACCCCTTATTTTCCCATTTTTCCATTTTACCCTATCTTAACTTCTCTCTCTCCATCCCACATCCCATCATGATATCCCACACCACCAAAGCGACCCCATCCCATACCGTCCCATCCCAAACCAAAACCACAAGGAAAAATCAAACTCGAAATAGAAAGAATCCATTTCATCATCAATCATCTTATCTCATCTCATCACATCAATAACCCTAAAGTTCTTTCTTTGATTCCACCGGTGTCGGTGCCGCCTTATTAATAAAGCTCCTTCCAATTGCGATAGTTTCCCCTTGACCTCTTTGTCTCGCCCAGAATCTATTTGAGGAATCGGGTTAGTTTTATCTCATCTCACTTTGTAGAATATGTATATTCAAGGAGTAACTTATAAGAAAAAAGACATACCTCTCCTCAGCCGTCCCATGACCCCTCAAAGACGATTCCCTCGCCTCATCCTCCAATGTATTCCTACTGATCTTTTCTCCCTGACCAATACCCCCCTGTGCAGCTTCCTCCGCCGCCTCTTGTGATATCGTTGCTTGCAAATATTGTCTATCACAAACACCAATTAGTTTCTCTTCCCTCAAAAATGGTAAACTAACAAAAAAAGGGGCACAAACGACGCAAACATAGCAGGAACAACATACTTCCTAACCGCAAATCTCTCTTTTCTTTCTCTTTGTAAACCAGGGCTATCAACCTTACTTAATGCCAATCTGATACCTCGGCGAAGTGCTAGATAGATATGTTCTGAGAAGAACATTGTGAGTAGTAAACCCCATCCTGTGATCTTATTCGGTGTACCATCTGGACCAAATCCATCGCCTGAGAAAAGATAGACGAGAGCTGCAGTACTAAGACTACCAAGCCAAGACAAGAAACCGAGAGCATCGAGCCAAGGACCGATGGAATCCGCACGCCATGGAACAGGACGCTGAGTTTCGATTGCGATCTTGAGAGCGTCGCCTCGGAGTTCAATCCAATTGTTTATAAGGAACGAGAGAGCAGTCAGAGGCCAGACTACTGAGAATAAAGATAGGTAACCAAATTGTATCACCATTTCTCTAAAGTCAGATGTGACATCATAGATTCCTAGTTCGGCTTCATTTCTCACACGAGTCAAGAATGCGCTTTCTTCTGGGTGGTCACTATCTGGTGTGAAGGAACCTCCACGTTTGGCGGCACGATCTGCTTGGACTTCTTTGTACTTTCGGAAGGCCCTTCTCTTGACGTATGGAACGATGACCTCAAGAGCAAAATTGACGATCTGCGCCGTGACGGTAAAGTATATAACCTGTTTCTTTAATCTATCAGGGTTAATTTGGAATCCAGCTTTCGGTGCTGTCATTTGTTCATCATTTTCGGCGAATGGTCTTACGGCCATTTGGAAGATATCGAGATGAGGGACGATAACTTGGGCAAACGGGACGTAGACGAATGCGGTGAGGAAGATTGGCATGTAAGATGTTATAAAATTGAGGACGAAAATCTTTTGGACCATTGCAGCGTCATGTGCTATTTGAGGTCAGTGATGCTCACATTTAGGGATACTAGGTAGTTACTTACAGTCAATAGTCTCATAGTTCTCAAGATCCGTCAATTTCGAGGCAAATCCTGTCAAAAGAACAGATAATGTGGGCATGAAAACTGTAAGAATGACAGTTGGTAAGAATATCTATATGTTGTTAGCCAGGTTCTCAATTTCAGGATTGATGTATATACCAAATATGTCTTGAATGGTCCATTGTAGACTTCAGAAATGAAAATTTCGATAGCAAAGCAAGTTGCAATCAAACTTCCAAGTATGACAGTAGCACAGAGTGCAAAAGGTACTTGCAGTAACTGACGACTCAACCTTTTCACTGGCGAGTAAAACCTAATCTGTTCTCCAGTAACTGGATCCTTGATCTCTCTTTCGTGCTTGAAGTCTGGTCTTTGGTGCTGAATCTTTGATACTCCTCGAACACCCCATTGTACAGCAAGATCTGTCTCTTGCTTTTTCCAATATTCCGTGTAGACAATACCCCACAAGCCATTGACTATGGCATATACTGGAGAGTATTGACCGAAAAGAACCCAAGCGCAGAATCCGAACACCGCCGGAAATATTAAGAACATAAAATAGGATTGTAGAAAGGCGAAATAGAACCCAATCCTTTCCCCAAATCTGTCTTTGATATCCTCCAGATCCTTGGTGGTGAGGAGATATTTTGAGGTAATTTCTTTGATCCAAGCCGTATTGAATGCATGATCATGGAGGGGAAATATCGACTCGACCCCCTTCCATTCTCCTTTCTTAGGTGTAATGCCCGCACCGCCTTCATTTTTTGGCTTTGTGATCAACAAATATACCAATCGTAATCTTTCGGCCTCGGTCATTGGTTCTGTACTCAAAGCCTGTTGCATATCCTTTTCCGGTGCAGCGGTTCGAACTCCATATAACCAATCCTGTACTCGCGAGCGATATACTTCGGATCTAAGATGTCTGTCCGAAGCAGTTTTGACGAATATTAGAAGTGCACAGTTATCTCCATTTCGTACTTCAGTCATCAATCCAACATCGTTGAGAGCTTCGACAAGCTTGACGAATTGTGCTTCGGCTTGGACTTTGTCTGAAGTGATGCATTAGCTGTGTGTGGAATTGAATGGGAGAAATTGGGCTCTCGTACTGGTAGTAGCAAAACGATAGTCGATCACGAAGTCAACTCTGCACAATCAGGTTAGCTAATGTTTACGAAGTCTTCCAATCTACTTACTCAAAATTGGTATTTAGAGCATTTCCAAGAGCTGGATTTGGTTTGTAAATACTCTTGAGCGAAGCCATATTGTTAATGCAAATCTGCCAGAAGAACTTTGATTAATTTAAGTCTCCGCAGATTTAAAAGAGAATATGTAGGAACTAGAAGAGGTAAAAAGTTGGCATTTAACCAGCTCTTTGTTGACATTTGACAGCGAATTCAAGCTTGGAAGTATTCAAAGCTTCAATCAAGCCGACGGAACAACCCCCCAAATGACGAAATCATCGCTAAATTTTGGATTTATCCCTGTAATTTCTGGATAATCAACAGAAGCTTGGCTTTGAAGAGGTTAACCTTACACCATACAGGTTGAATGCCTTTCTTTCTAATCACATTTGAGGATCGGTTAACGTGGTTTATCAGCGAGTGGATCATATCAGCGAGTGGATCACTTTTACCTCAATTTATTCCTTTCAACTTCAACACGCGATTTATCAATCATTTATAATGCAATCAAATAATAAAGAGGCTCAAATACTCTTAGCTATTGAAGCTATTCAAAAAGACAAAAAATTAAGCATTCGGCA